GCAATTCCTTATTACACCACCTTATCAAAGCTCTGGCCATGGTTCCGCTCTTTATCAGGCAATATACCATCAGGTTATGGCCGACCCGACAGTTTTGGAACTGACAGTGGAGGACCCGAGCGAGGAGTTCGACAAATTACGCGACATGAATGACTTTGACAATCTAGAACCACAGTTCAAAGCAATCAACCTCAAGATAGATACGTCGCCTTTTGCCAGCATGGACCGAGGACGTTTGAAACGCGTACCAACTGCCAAATTGCTTCCTCTTGACGAGCTGCAAGCCATCCGATCCAAGAACAAGATTGCAGGTCGCCAGTTCGCCCGCATGGTCGAAATGTATCTTCTGGCTCAGATCCCGTATTCGCGTCGTGCTGCTGGTGGAGCTTCCCTTACTGGCCTCGTGGTTAAGGGTGCCAGAAATTCTAACCTGGACGACCGCGCGTACTATTGGTGGCGACTGTTGCTGAAACAGCGCATAATCAAGAAGAACAAGGATGTGCTCCATCAGATTCCGTTCGAGGAACGACTGCCCCAGATCGAGGATAGTGCTCGTGGGCAAGAGGACGAATATGAACGTCTCATCCTCTCATATGCCCTGCGAAAAGAGAAAGAATCTGATCACGAGGGAAATGGAGAGTCAGCCGCCATCGTGCGCAAGAGAAGGGTCGTTGAGGATGATGAAGATGACGAGGAGTCGAACGCCGAAGCTTCCAGGTCGAAGAAACCAAAGGTTTAAGACCACTCTGTCGCCCTTCTTCGTGCTTGTTGACTGAGGCGGATTCGAGCAGTTCGCACCGCTCATGTTTCCCACTCCCAGAAGCTGCCCCATACTCCAAAAGCACTGTTTGTTCTGAATTCGGTGGCGGCGCATGACCCCAGAGTTTTGAGATTGGGAGGAGGCATGAGGAAATCCGTCTCGGCGTCGCAGAGCGCCTCGCCCGAATGGGCGAATTTTCAGGATCCGAGTGTAGCTCGATGATAACAGATGAACTGAAGACGTTCTTCAGCTTCTTCTTCAGCGATGACATGTTCGTCTTCACCCAGAAAAGCACCTTCTTCCCACATCTTGTCTAATTCTTGATCGTCGTCGCCCGTCACCGCCCAGACGCTTTCCCGTAGTCGTTTATTCCGCTCTCTGTCCTCTTCTATTCTCTGCTCGATCGCCCGTTTATCCATCTTCGACACGCCATTTGGCTTTCCCGAACGCTCAGCTCCAGTCCGTGGCGTCGGTCTTTGAGCACCATCCGCTGCGCCGCCCTCCGGAGCTGTAATATCCATGACGTCCTTGTCACCTCCTCCTTCTGGCTCCCCATCCTCGTCTCCCAGCAGTTTCCCAAACTTCTCCTCTTTATCCTTCAATCCGCTCTCGATCGCACTGATCACCTCCGGCGTGAGGACGCCTTTCTCGCCCAGTCCGGTGACAACCCGCCTCACGACTTTGACATTCGCACCGCTCTGCGCAACCGCATCCACGATCCTCATCATGTCCCTTTTGACCATCTCCACATACGCTTCATGGCCCCCTTCCTTCATATTGATGTCTGCGTGGTGTTCCAAGAAGTACATGATGTTGGCACGGCTGTTCATGTTTGTGTTTCCCCTCTCCAGGTTTTCAAGAATGCATGAGTGGAGGTCTTCATCCATGTCCCGGTGTTTGAGGGCATACTGGGCGGTTTTTATCGAGGCCGTGGCAGAGGCAGAGAGATGGGTGAGGAGGTTGGTGAAGCGCATGCGGACTTCGAAGGGATCGGCCATGGCGATGGCGAGGAATTCGTGACTGCGATCGATAGCAGGAGGTGGGGGTTTGTGATGAGAGGGTTATGGGAAGCGAGCGGCGTTGTTCACATCATCTGGTCTGTCAGGTAGGCGATATCCTTCTCGGGAGCGCCACTTCGATTCAGTTTATCAACTGCAGGAAACAGCAGCGACAGACTTCGCACAGCAAAGATCAAGGCGACTCAAGGATCTCCGTCATTGGTGTGCCTTGCAGGCGGATTTTGCCGTTGATCTTGAGGTCCTCCGCTTCTGCCCTTCAAAAATATTTCAACTCGTTCCCCGCACTTTTTGTCTTTCAGCACGACAGTATACATGATTGGAACAGGGCAGCGAAGACTTTTCTCTCTATATATTGCTTCCCTACTGTCAGGTTGAAGAGCGCGTGCAAAATGGCGGCCATGCTGCGTGTGCCCAACGGGATCAATGGGCTCAACACCTCTAGTGGCATGACTCTCACCATTCTCGGATGCGGTGAGTGTCCTCCTAGATTCACTCCTTCACCCCCTTCCCTTCTATTAGAGCCGTCCATTGACTAAATTTCGAAAACAGGGACCCTCGGCATCGCCATCCTCAGCGGCATCCTCTCCTCCCTCTCCGAATCCTCCGCTTCCCACGCTCCTTCGCCAGCCTACCCCGACTCCGGCACCGCAACACCCACCACCGAATCCCCCCCGCAACGAACGCCATCAAACTTCATCGCCTGTGTGCGCCGCCCTGAATCCGCGAAACGGATCAAAGTTGCCGTTCAATCCTACCGCCCAAATGTCACGATTTTGCAAAACGAAAACGTGAAGGGCACGCACAATGCCGACGTGGTTATACTGGGATGTAAACCATATATGGTCAGTGAGCTTCTGCGTGAGGAGGGGATGAAAGAAGCTCTCGCGGGGAAACTTTTGATATCGATCTGCGCCGGCGTCCCCGTCGAACAAATTGGTCGGGTTCTCTACGGCGAGTCGTATCCAGAAAATATTCCAGAAAATGCATGCCGGATAGTACGAGTCATGCCCAACACCGCCGCGATTGTGCGCGAATCCATGACCGTCATCGCCAACACCACTCCCCCTTTACCTGCCGAACTATCAGCAATAGTTGAATGGATATTCACGCGGATAGGCCGGGTCGTGCACCTCCCTCCCGCAATGATGGACGTCTCGACAGCCTTGTGCGGCTCCGGCCCCGCTTTCCTGGCACTGATGCTCGAATCTCTCGCTGACGGGGCCGTCGCGATGGGCCTTCCTCGCGCAGAAGCTCAACTTATGGCTGCCCAGACGATGCGAGGCACGGCAGGGATGGTCTTATCCGGGGAACATCCTGCGCTGGTGAGGGAGAAGGTGTCTACCCCAGGAGGGTGCACGATTGGTGGGTTGTTGGTGTTGGAAGAGGGCAGAGTTAGAGGAACAGTAGCGAGGAGTGTAAGGGAAGCGACGGTCGTGGCAGCGCAGTTGGGTAAGGGAGTCAGTGGCGTGAATGGGACGAGATTTGAGAGGCAGTAAGAGGGGGAAAGGGTGATTTATCGGACCCGTTAGGGATATGGATTCGAGGTCAAAAAGAAAATCAGGATCGCCCTGCAAGGCAAAGTGGTGGTCTTCATGGATGACAACATCGCAGGTGGACTACTCTTTCACGTCTATCCATATCCATGATGTTCGCGGTCGAAAAGTTTGGCACATCTTTCTGGAGATTCTGAGCACATGTTCCTCGCCAGGGGATATACCGCACTACTTGATGATGCACACGCAAAAGATTTGTCTTCTGGAGCGGTATACCAATCTTGAATTGTACAATTTTGTTTTGGATCTTCTCCAAATCTTCCTGCAAGCCCGTGGTATAGTTACAACGTCCCCTGGTAAAGATGATTCCACCGAGACAACGAACTCGGTAGAGGAGGATGATTGACTGGTTCCAGCAATGCACCGAGTGAGTAACCTCACCTTTCAGTCCCACAGGACATCTCTAGGCCTCTGACGAGTGTTTGATGCACCCATTTCATCTCTGAAAATGGTCCTGGACAAACTTTTCGCCAAACCGATCTGGAGAGTTTCCCAAGGGCCGTCCGTCTCTTCACCGGCAATCTCATCTGTCTTTCCTTATGACATTGAAACAACAGCTCCCAGTGCCTTCATGGCCGCGACAATCTTCTCCGCCTCCTCCTTCGGCACACCCTCCTTCATGACCTTTGGCGCGCTCTCGACAAACTTCTTGGAATCCACCAGACTCAGGCCTAGCAATCCTTTCACTTCCTTGATGACCTTGGGTTTGGCAGCCGCATCGAAGGAATCGAGTTTCAGAGTGAACATTGTCTTCTCAGCGGGGGCGGGCGCCGCTTCTTCCGCCGCTTCTGCTTCAGCAGCTGGAGCTGCAGCGCCGCCGGCAGCAGGGGCAGCGGCTGGCGCAGCGAAAGCCATGTCGGGAATGTTGAGGCGTGACTATATTCGTCCATATCAGCTGGAGTCTAACAGGACGCACGAAAAAGGACATTGCGAAATTAGACGCGTGGTCCGCTGCAGGAAGATGATGCTCGAGTATACCTTTAAGCTGGCAACCAAATCGGCCGTCTCCAACAGTGTTAATTGTGATATTTGATCGACAATCCCGGCTATCTTAGGGTTTTGAGGTGTAGCAGCCGCCTCCGTAGACTGCCATCTTCTTGAACGCCCACAGAACGTTAAGCTATTCCTTCGTCTATGCTGGTTTGCGGAGCTTGTGGAGGAGAGTCGGAGGCATTGGGAGGAAAGACTGCGTTTTTGCGTCCGAGCTGCAAGGTGACAGCAAAGATACGTTGCTGATGGTAATTTCGACGACATTGCGTATCAATGAGAAGTAGGGAGGGAAAAGAAAGGAGCCAGTTGAAAGTGTGAATGGGACAGAGACGATCGTAGCAAATGTCTGAGAAATTACTCCGTAGAATCTCGCGACCATTGCATTGACAGCCAAATAGTGCCAAGCTGCACGTGACATTAACTTCGAGGCTTGAATAAACCGTCAAGCTCAGACATCATTTTGATCATTCCAGACGTTCTCTCCGGTCGACGACAAGTGGTTCACCTCAGTCTATATCTTCAGGAACAGTTCCATTATCTTCCGAAGGGATTCTGTGGTGATAGTCCATTTCGCGGTCAAGCTATCCACAATCTCGAGCAGCTCGCCACCAGTATCGATACATAATCCATCCCATCCATTCCATCTATCATTTTCGTCTTTCCCTTTTATAGAAAATCATGGAAGAAATCCCAATATTCAGAGCTGCGAAGCGGAGGAAGTTTATACGCTTCCAGCAAGAACCATTTGAAGAATCCGCCACCACCACCACTCCGACAGACGATGCCCCCTCTGCAGGCGGAGATGGGACTCGAGACGATGATGGGGACGAAGGCGCAATTTCAAATCTGATACGTGCACGAAAGCACGTTCGAAAGGTTGTCTCGGGGGTCCAATTCTCAAATGCGAAGGTCATGCAACGAGCGGATGACACCACTTCCACAGAGGCTGCCAGGTCTGATCAGATCGTCGACAAACCTATAGACATTGTCAACCGTTTTGTCGGAAGTACTGGGCAGGTCGTTAATGTTGATAAACATATGTTCGTGGCTCCCCCAGAATTCCCCAGATCTGGAGACATAGTTGGCTGACAAGATAAGGGTTGCATTTATAGACTCCGAAATGGCTAAGAGACGCAGCCATCTCCTTACTTCTTCAAATGCTTCGCAGGAGAACTCGGAAGAGGAACCAAATCACAGCTCTTCATCATCCGATAGGCCAGTTTTACCAGTCCAAAAACCATCAACAACCAATCCAGCCTCCACCCGTCAGTTGGCCGAAGTCGACCTTGGTAATTCTGTGCACGATAGCAATCTAGCCCGCACGCAAGCTGCGCTTGAACGGGTCAAGGCCGGTCAAGCTCCGGTCGAAGAAGTGGACAAACCACGGAGGCCTCGAAAACCACGTCTAGGACGGGACGGCAAACCAATGAAGCCACGGCCCAGGAAGCGAAGGAACAGCGAAGACATTGCGCGGGACGCACTTGTGGAGCAATTTCTGCATGAGAATAGGATTGATCTGTACGATACGAACTCTCCAGGACCGACAAGTGGTCGGCCTCTGGTTGGCGAGGTCGCAGAAGAGGGTGACACTGACGAGCGCTTTGCCGAGCAATTCCGGCAAGATTTCATGGATGCAATGGCTGAGAGGAGGAACAAGAATAAATATTCCAGTCAGTCAAAGGGAACAAGTACCGCGGAGCCGAGAGGGCCGAAGCTAGGAGGGAGCCGAAATGCAAGAGCAAAGATGATGCAACAGCAACAACAAGGTCAAGCGGGAACGAAGAAGTGAGAGCAATGGCCGACGGTGCGGTGCAGGGTAGTGATGATGATCCTCTGTGTCCCTTAGGCTTCTAGCCACACGCCGCGCAATCGAGAGCATGGTCCACGATGTCGTAACGAAGGTTTCAACTTCCACTGTTTGAGTCCATCTGGTTTCGCTGCCCTTCGCCGCCCTCCGTATCTATCACCATCATCGTGGGAGAAGTCCTGATAGACACCTTTCAAACCGCGTTGAACCGAAACAATTTGCGTCGTGGTCATCTGGGTTATGGAGCGTCAAGAACAGGTTGAATGAACCTCCCGGAGCTAGAAGCACAGCGAGAGCTCAGTGTAATGTGCCCGGCCCTCTGTCGTGCCAGTTGTTGTGTTAGGTCTTCTTCTCCGCTTCTTGGCACAAGGCGCAAGTCGAAACGATGAAAAAGAAAAGGGTTGTCTAGAGGACAGACTGGAAAGGTTTCAAAAATTGTTGTACTCATCCAAGAGGACAAGACTGAAAAGGTTTCAAAAAATTGTCATGCTTGCCCAAAGGACAAGACTAAAGATGTTCTGAAGTGGTTGGCAGGAGTCAGAGTTTCCAAATATTAATGTACTTGTCCCAGACAAGACTGAAAAGGTTCCAGAAATGGATGTAGACACCCCTGTTGTTCGATGGGTCTACACCATAAAACGCCAGCTGAAGAAGCATGCCTTACTGTAAGAGAAGCTTCTAGGCAAGGAAGTGCTTGTGGTGGAACATTCCTGGACTGCCATCATCGAAACAACCTCATGAGCTATTGGCGTCTCTGGCCTTCTGAAAGTCGAAAACTGCCACGAAAATGTCCGTGTTGGGATCCTGGTTCGAAATAGAGGCCGATCGAGAACTCATTCCCAGTCATGCAAGGAAAGCTGACACTGAGAACCACAGGCGGCTGTCCAGACCAATGGACCCCCTTGTCGGCAGGGATAAGAGATGGAGTATCTCTCCGACACCCATATGAAGAAGGTGGCCGTGTCCCCTTGTCGGCGTCCAGGGAAACTCCAAACGACCAGCTCATGACGAGAGAAGATCGCGCGGCGGTTGTTTGAAGCTCAATCAAGAAACAACATCTGCAGGTGGCAAGGAAGCCACCTCAAAGAATCATCAGGCGCCTAATGTTTCTCACAAGGGCATATGTGAACCAAAACACATCTTGGCAGAACGCTCAAGAACGTGTGCACAACAGCCTGTTGAGTTTGTGTGACTGGAGGAAGGAAGAAGGAAGAATGAAAGAGGTCCGCAAGAGGAAAAGAGGTGATACTTTATACCGTGAGCAACTCCTTGGCGGCCAGGGATCGACTAAAGTCAGGCTAGTCGCACCAATTCTGCTATTGATCAATCATCTGGATATGATTGACGCTGGCAGTGAATACCAGATCAGAAGAGAGGCTAGGATCTTGAATGGCGTGCGGCAGAAGCGTTCTGGTGATTGTTGTTGATGAAAATAACAACCATGTGTCTTGGAGGTGGTCTATACAGTTGGTGTCACGTGATAAAGCAGAGACCCGTATACACCGCGAGACAGACCCGACTCGCCGAGTGTGTGGAAGGAGAAGATGGCACTCAATATCACACTCCTCCTCAAGCCTCCTTACTTACTCACAAATACGCCGGTATGTGTGTATTGGCGGCGGGTGCGAATTAGGGATTGACTTGACGAGGGAAAGTGACAAAGCAGGTCAAGATCTTGCTACGGAGCGCCCGTTTCGCAGTTCACATCAAGATCCCAAACGAGCTCGCAAGTGGCATGCGGCTGGCACCTGCCGGGATCACCCGCATTGAGGATGAGGAGGAAGGAAGCGCTCAAAGCAGGGAAGAAACACCGGAGCGGCTCTCTGACGAGACCACACTTTGTTTTGAGCAGTTGTACATGGCACGGAGGCTGGATGGATACGGCAGCGGAACCTCGACGCCATGCGTGCCTATACTAAGCCATGGAGCATCAGTCTCAGAGATCAATGCAGGGACCTGGCATTGCGCGGGCGCACACATGGGAACTGGAAAGCTCGGTGCCGGAGGATATGGGGACGGACGTTCGTGGGCAAGAATCAAGACGTCTAGATGGACAGGTGGCGGGGGTCTGGGTGGCGGGACGGGATACCACGCTCATTGTTCAGATGAGTCCAGACCAGGACGGCGGAAACATGAACTGCAAATGAACGCGGGATTGGGGGTGGGAGCATGAGCCCACGCCCGTCAGTCACCAAGGGCAAGCTCGAGTGATGCTCAATGGGAGGGAGTAGATAGACAGCGTCTCTCGGCTTCGTGGACGCACGACAGCTTGAGTAATGAAACGCTACATTTCCAACCATGTCTCGTCCAAGCAGAGGTCTCGCGTTCTTGTTGCCATATGGAGCCCGACAGACATGATGCACGGACTTGGACAAACGTCATTGTTCAATATCGAAAGGTATGGACTGTGCGCAGTCCCTCGATGCCTGTTCCCATTCTTGACTTTCTCTTCCATTGTGCCCCTCCCTTGCCAGTAGTTCAAGAACCGCAACACATGCTACCCGGTACAAATTAAACGACATGTGTGAAATATACAGAAAGAATCAAAGCATACATGCGACTGCGGAGGCTGGGACATCTGAGAACCCATATGGACGGGGATTTTCAACTCCTCCAACGCCTACGCTGGCTAAGACATTTGCATTTTCGGTGTGGTTTCGACGGCGAGTGTATGTCGTGGTGGTGGTATGGAAGTCTGCAGAAGTCTGGTTGCGCTCACTCGGTTCGAACAAGTTGCCCATAGCACTTCCACCGGTCTCTTGTGGACATCGGAAAGCGGAGAAGAAAGTAGAGTCTATGTAGTTGAAGTTTGAGGTTGAGAAACAAGATATGGGGGAGGGGACCGGGGGCGAATAAGGACGTCTCAATCAACGCCAGCGTAGAGATCGACGACGATGTTGATGGCTCTGCGAGGAACACGTTAGCTATCCTGCTCCGGTGGATGCCTCTGAGAAGGAGGAGGAGCACATACGCAACCAAGATTTCAGCAGCGATGAGAATGATAACTATAGCCCGTCAGCGGGACACCCATTCACTAGGTCGGACTAGACTCACCGATCCATTCTAGGACTTCTCCGTGTCGTCTGCTGCCTTGTTCTCTCAGCACCGCAAGTAAATCTGGGCAGTATCAGCAATCCATACTCCGATACCGCATCATCAACCATTGCACAAGGTCAACGCTCACCGGCAATGACATCCAACCGCTCTGTCAACAACCCAACGCGCTGCTCAATTTCCAAGTAACTCCTGACAGCCGCATACACGGGTTCCAGATGCGGTTCCGACCACATCAACTCGGGAGAATCCAGGACGGAGCCCTGCAAGTGGATATTAATCCGCAGGATAAACAGCTCTCCAATTTGCATATTCAGCTGGCGTCTAGTCAAGTTGACACTGCCGGTCTGGGCGATCAGCGCCGGTAATGGTGCTGTTGTTTCGATGGTCTCGCTAACGAGGTCCTCAAATAGACTCGTCTTGACAGATTGGGACAGTGCGTGTGAAATGGCCAGTTTGATCATATGATTCCGTGGCTCCCGTAGAGAGATGAAGTCGTTGTATATCCGGGCTTGGTATTCCTTCGTGTAGTAGAAGTTGAAGTTCTCGGTTTGGACAGATTCGGTAGGTAAAGGCGCATCACTAAACTTGGACATATCGTTGAGAAACCTTTGCTCTTGTTGAACCGTCATGCCCCAGATGACGACGGTGCCGTAGTCAAATATGAAGATTTCGGGTATGTGGACCGTCGTGGAGAATTCTGAGTCCGACCGTTGACGCATCGCATCGCTTTCGGTGTGGCGGAGGTCGGTCGAAGAATGGCTGGCAATGGCAGTCAGGTCTGTCGTTGTGTTTTCTGTTGTTGCCGCGGTACCTGTGGGCGTGCCCAGCTCTTCTTGCAGGTCGATGAGGTGATCTCTTCTGGTTTTGTTGTCTTCCACTTCCACCGCGCTATCCGAGAACCGCCTTTCTCGGGGCGCTATTCTCGGGGAAGCCATGACTCTTGCAATCCTCTCCTCGACCGGACTTGAACTTCTGTCTCCTCCTTTGTTCTTCTTCACATAGTCGTAGTCGTAGGGGCTATAGAGACATTCGTCGAATAGCTTGGGGTTGGCACCTCTCGTCCTCGATCTCGACTTCATGAATTTCATAATCCCATCAAGTCGGTACCCCTGTGCCATACAGTATGCGGTCACTCGAGGCAGCCGATCCCTGTCGGCCTTCCCCAACCTAGCGGCATCCCGCCTGGCTGTGGGGTCTTTTATCCTCGTGAACTGGGAATACACATCTCTTCCACTTTCCTCATCTCGTTCTTCGTCACCAATGTCCGGGTTGGGTAATATCTTTAATTTCTCCGTGGTTTTGGTCGTCCTCTGGGCGCCTGCTCTTGGAGCTGCAGTGAATGGCTGTGTGGTCGGTAACGGGGCTCCGTGGCTATTTCTTCTGCGCAATTTCGAGTTGAATGCACTCAGCATGGGCGGCTGTTCTCGAACTGCTTGGTTGGAACCGGTCAAGGCGGCCGAAGGACTTTGTACGGGTCTGAGAGCTGCAGAGGATGTGGCCCCGGACTGTGTGCTCACAGACGTCAAAGGGTTGAAGGTGACCGTCCTTTGAATGCGTAATCCAGGGCGAGATGGGGACTCGCTAGGAGACGCATGCTGGGGAAGCAGGGGAGACGACTCGCTCGCTGTGGTCGCCATGATTCCGGCCGGCTCTTGACAGCGGAGCTCGTGACACAGAGACAGGGAAAGAGAATAGATTAGAAGAGGTTGTGAGATCCGTCGCAAAATGCGGAGTAGGAAATGGGTGGACGAAGCTGAGGAGCCAGCGGTGGTGTGCTTTCGAAGTTCGAACTGGACCTCCATATGGGTGAGGACGGGTGCCTCTCTGGCTTAGGGTTTGCATCATCGTTCACTGCTGCAACACCAACCGGTTAACTAGATGAGCTTCCCCGTGCAGCCTAGGGACCCGTGGTACCGTCAACTCCACCCTGCGTTTGCTTATTAACTTTAGGTAGTTTTCTTCCGCAAGCCGAGCGAGAGCGAGCCTGCAGACGCACGTGCAAAACAACCATTGAAGCATTTCCGCCCTCGATAAGTGCAACACCAATTACTCAGGTAACTAGCAAGCAGCAGCAGCAGCAGCAACAACAACAAGAAGTCCCTCGATCCAAAGCAGAACGGTACCCTCATCCTCGACCACTGATGCTAACCGTCCTCGCAAGGATAAACTACGATTTGGCTAAATATACACAGCTGCTTCAGAAACCCGCTGTTTTCCCCCAACCGTTCCCTCCAAAACAAATGTATCGAATAGGTCAGCCCCGGGTCAGTCAATAGTAGTATGTCTCATCGGGTGTACGGCCCCGAATGTAGGCTGGCTCGCTCCCACGGACGTAGATATCCTCGAAGAGGATCTTTTCCGTCGGGTCCGGAGGGGCCATCTTCTCTGCCTCGGCCACCTCTCCATCCACGTCCTCTCGTGCCTTCTTGTCGATCTGTTTGAGCTCATCCTCGGTGCACACGCCCCAGTCCAGAATCTTCTGCTTGAGCCCTGCAATGGGATCGTTGGTAGATCGCATCCGTTGAATTTCTTCTCTGGTTCGGTACGTCGTTCCTGGGTCCGACATGGAGTGGCCACCATAGCGGTATGTGACATATTCAAACACCAAGGGCCCCTTATCGCTGGCTGTGTATTCCTTGCCGTACTGGACCGCCGCTTTGACAGCGAGCACGTCCATCGCATTAATCTTGAGACCCGGAATGTATTGACCTCGCTTGTAGTACTCGGTAAGAGCTGACGATCGAGCCGCCGAAGTACCCATACCGTACTTGTTATTCTCGCAGCCGAACAAGACGGGGAGGTTCCACAATTTGGCCATGTTGAAGGCCTCGAACACCTGGCCCTGATTGGAAGCGCCATCTCCATACAGAGTAACCGTAGCAGTCTTACTGCCAGTGTACTGGTGCGCAAAAGCAATACCAGCGCCCACGGGCACTTGGGCTCCAACAATACCATTACCGCCATAAAAATTTGGAGCGAACATGTGCATCGAGCCTCCTTTTCCGTACGCAATACCCTCTCGTCGCCCTAGGAGTTCCCCAATGATGGACTTGACAGTGCCGCCACGCATGAGCGCGAAACCGTGGCATCGGTAGGCAGTGATAATGGCATCATCTCTGGTGATGGCGTGTTCAATACCCACAGCGACGGCTTCTTGACCGGTTGACAAGTGGCAGAATCCTCGGATCTTCTTTTCCTTGTACAATCTATCGGCGGCCATTTCCATGCGACTGTTATTGCGAGAGTCAGAAATCCCCTTTGCAGTTGCTTGTCGTTTTGGTTGGCTTACCGTATTGCCACCATGTCATAGTACATCTGCTTCAACTCTTTCTTCGTCGTCTCGAGCGTGTAAGAGGGAGGATCGAGGTTGTAGGTTTCGAAACTCTCGTCAGAGAGCTTGACTGGGAAGGGCTTATCATCTTCCTGGAGAGCATTGTCAGCTCCTCTTCAAGTACAATCAAGGGCCGAGAAAGAGAGGGTGCGCCTTGCCTCGGGCACATCGTCCTTTTCTGCATGAGAGCTAGCGGCATCCGTGGTGACAGTCCGTCGAGCAAGCTGATACACTTGTCTCTTTGGCAGCGACTGCAGGCCGAAGCCTCTTAAACAGGCTCTTGAAAGCATCTCTGAAGGGGACAAGGAAGGAGAAGAGATGCAACGGATTCAATGGGGGCGCCGATGAAGAGAAAGTGGATGGGAGTTCCGTCAAGCTGCTGCTCGTATGTTGGGAGGCCGAAAGGAGCGCTAGCGTTCTTCAGCGGAGCTCAAAAAGCGTAAAAATGGGAAACCGTCGAAGACACCAGTTCCGGTGCCTGCTGCCTCCCCTCCCCCCAACGAGTTACCCCCAAAGCCACCACGTCAACACTCTACAGCAAACGCGGTACGGAGTATATACGCAGATAGCTTTCAGGAGCCGTCAACTCATATTATCATTTGCTTGCCCGAAGATGAAATGCCTGCCGCTGTTGCACCTATCCCGATGCCTCAATCCTCAATGCCGTATCTGCACTATGCTACCTCAAAGAGACGAGGGTATCACAATCGCAAACCTGATGGCTCAAATCATTTCCACTCCTCCCTCCAATGTTGGCCAACTCTCTCAGATGGCAAGGCTTGTGAAGGCCTTGTCGCTTTTCTCAATTCGCTCATCCACAGACGGATAAGTCTCTGATCAACAACTTGGTTAATATGCCCCCGGCCCTACCAACCCAGGTTGTGCGCCGTACGCTCCTCCGACTCCGCCCTGATGCCCTAACTGTCCCGGTTGCTGCATCGTCGAGCTAACATGAGCTCTCCCATGTCCAGCGTAGTTTGGCAGATCCGAGAACCACGGGTGTCTCAGAGCATCCTGTGCACTGATTCTGTTCTCTGGTCTCAGTTGCAACAACTTGCCAAGCAGATCGAGTCCCAACTGATCGATCTGCGGCAAGAGAATCGCCAACGACTGCGTAGCATAAGATGGAAAGTTGCTCTTGTACTCGGGCAACTGAGAGATGCCAGGCCATGTCCGCTCCGATGGCGTACCCATCAGTCTGAAAATCTTTTGTAACTGGTCCTCGTTGGTCGTCCCGGGAAACAAGGGCCGGCCGGTATACATCTCTGCCATGATGCAGCCCGCTGACCAAATATCGATGCTTGTGTTGTATGTCCTGGACCCCAGAAGCACATCTGGCGCTCTGTACCACAGTGTGACCACCTCGTTAGAAAAGGTATTGACGGGAATGCCAAACGCTCTTGCCAGGCCGAAATCTGCCAGCTTCAGTTGCCCTTTGGTATTGATCAACAGATTTTGCGGCTTCAGGTCGCGATGTAGGACTCGATTCTCGTGACAGAATGCTGTCCCTCGGAGCAGATCTTGCATAAATCTCTTGATGGTGACATGATCGAGTTGGCCCCTATCCCCCCGCGCGTCCATATACTTTTTCAAGTCCTTGTCCATATATTCGAAGACCAGCATGAGCTTGTTCTCGGTGTGGATGACATCGTGTAATGTGACAATGTTTTCATGTTTGAGCTCCTTCATCAAACTTATTTCTCGAATCGCCGTCGACGGCGTGCCTTCTTCGGAGTCGAGGTGAATTTCTTTCAGAGCCACGAGTTCGCCCGTCTGTCGGTTCCGGCCCTTGTAGACGGTGGCGTAGGTCCCCTCACCCAGCTGGGGGTTGAGTCAGTACGGACGACTTCTAGCACGGGGAAGTTCAGAACATACCTTCTCCAGCTGCTGGAACGAACTGGGATGCCTCCGATCCATGTCCGTGTGCAATGTTCGCTCTTGTTGACTTTCTCTTCTGAAAGGCGGGGTACCTCCAGGGAACAGCAGTGAGGCTGGCGAGATGACCCGCTCAGCAAGTTGTTGCGCAGTAAGCCTCTGAGGCTGCGGGCGAGATCTTTGCTGAGTCGGAGCCTGGGACTGCGACTGGGACTGGGGGTGCTGTGTCGATGTAGTTGAGGAGACTGAAGTGCGATGAGGAATAGATGTGGAACGAGAAGACATGACAAGGGAAACGGGGGAACCCAGGCCCAGAAAAATGAGAGGCAGCGCTTTAGGATTTTACTAGTATTGGTTGTCGCCGGCGACGATCGTCAGGCTCGCCTCTACGCATCAGGCCAAACTCCAGTAAAACGCGTATCATTTGCCACGAGCGGTTAGAAGGAGCATGCCAGGGATATCGGTTGCCTGGCTATGGGCAACTTGGGACAACTATGGGTTACACATGGGTGACAACCTGTCTTCTGCAAATCTGTGTTTGGGCCGGGCGCCTGCCTTGCCCCGCCATTCGCTTGTTGCTCGTTGATTCCAGTGTCTGCAACTTGGCCAGGATCCAGAACCTGCGTCGCCGTTTCTCGCTCTGTCCGGTGGCACTGGCGGCACTGGTGGCTGGCTAGACGGCGCACGAGGATCAAAAATATTAGTTACCTCGGCGCTTGTGCCTTGCTATGAATAGGCATCCAAACACCCGCCCCTGCTTCAGCCTCATCCACCTTGGCCTATGTAGAGGCTGTGGCGCACTTCAGTGCAGCCCAAACAAATTGGAATCACTGTTTGTTTGCCCATGCTAATGTATTTAAAATTAAAACATAGGTATTACGTCTATATTATGACTTAGTCTCCAGCAAGGCCGACCTGCAGCCTTGCCCAAGAGGTTCATCAATCCTAGCTGGCTTGCGCCAATCCGGACCCTCGGTCGGCTCTGTAGCCGTCGTCATTTCTTGCGCCGTGGACTTTTATGGTACAACGATATTTCAAGCCTCGGCTTTTAGGAAAGTACTGGGTCGCTCCAAATATAACAAGCAGTCGTAGTTGCCGGCGGTACGTGAGAGAGGGGTATCTTCGAAACAAATCATTCATATGCAACTTTCTTTCAGTGTCGTGTCGTGGCAAGTCATCTCATGTACGTCGTCCGTAAGGCCGCCGGGGCAACTTTGGTGTGGAATAAATCAACGTGATACCTTAGATAGGTCAAGATCAAGCTGTGCGTGGATTGCTGGGTGATGGCTGAGGCGGTTTCCTCCCTCCTGCTGTAGCCAGCGTCGGAACAACTGGCTCACTCATTGTTCGCCGACGTGTTTCGACAACTGGTCGTTGTGCGTATGCGATAAGCATCTTGAAACTCGATCCTCGACCCTTGCATTCTCCCAGAACCTTTTTGTCGGCAAAGATGCTTCTGCCGAGATTGCCATCGTTTATAACGCTGGCCTCAAAACAATGCTGCCACCACGTCCGCGCCGTCCTTGACACAATCTTTCCAATGCGGAGATCCGCATTATCTGACCGATCGGAAAGGAGGTCATTCAAAGATAGGTTGGTGGCTCCTCTGCGACCTTGACCAAATGTCATCCGTGGAGACGCATCTCCTGGCCGTGCGTCACCGGACCCTCGCCTTGGGAAGCCATCCGATCCTCGACTCGAGCGTGATGACGATGACGAGTCAGAAGAGCCTGAGGGGCGACCTGCGACGGGTACTCCTACCACGCAGCGGCTGATGTTGGTGAACCCCCGTGAGCCTAATACGCTCTGGACGTTGTCGATAATCGGCCGGAGGCTGATCTGCCTGTCTGCTGTCGTCATTCTGAACTTGAGCTCTCGGACAGCCCTCCGAGTCTGCACACCCATATTGACGATGTCGAGATCCAGGAGCATCAGTTCCAAATACCCGCCTGGTTGTAACACTCGCCTGCATTCGGATATAATATTCTTCATCTTTGCCTCTGCCATTGCCGGGGGAAACCGAAAGACGACAACGGAGAAGAAATCCGGTGGGAAAGGGAACTTTTCGTAGAAACTTGATACTTCCGCTCGTCGATGGTTGTCTGGGGCATGCTGAGAGGGTCTCGACGTCTTCGTCCCTTTCGAGGTGGCCTTCTCCTTGAGATCATGGACATACGCTTTTTGTGCCTCATAAGTCACCGCACAGTATATTGACCAATCCTCGTTCCCTAATCCGTCGATGACGAGGATGTGGCGCTCAGCGTACTTATCGATCCCATCATGAGCGGGCGAGAAGAGAACTCGCCCAAATGACAACCATTTGGCAACCATGAGCGAGGCATAGTGCAGCTCTGACTGAGCGACCGGGTCCTTGCCTCGTTCGACAACGTCAAGCAGAGCGACATTCTCTTGATGAGATGGTTCCGGAGGCACCTCAGGCGCACTTGTAGTCGTGGTCAGGCGCTCGAAGGAGCGACCTGCCGTAGATGTGCTTAAGCGTTCAGAGAGTTTAGTACTATGTCTTGGATGATTTTCGTATTCGCTAAGTAAATCGCGAATTGAGAAAGGCGATGCAGGGTCGATTGAAGAATGCAAGGCCGAGACGATTCGTGATCGGCGTAATCGAATGTCCTCCCCTACGGTTCGCTCAGGCATTGTAGGCGGAGGAAAGACAACAGGAGGCGTAGCTGATGTCGCCAGGCCTTGTGCGAAGACAGGTTTCTTCATACCAGGAATAGGAAATTCCGACAAGATGGGATCTGTTTGTTCTTCCTCTGGGGTTTGGTCCGACCGCGCCAACTGGGGAAGAGACTCTAGACGCATTGGTCTTGATTTACCTTGCTGTGCCAGGGCTTTCACACTCTTCCTGCTTCGGGAAGGCGACATGACATGGTCAATGAAATCGTCGTATTCATTCCAGACCTCGTCGATGCTAGGATTACCTGGTAGGTAGACATCTTGCTGCAGAGCAGGTCCCCCAGAGACGGGACCACCCGGTAGACCTGGAACTAACGGTGGTCCAAGCATGCTCAAGAATTCCTCCGAGCTGCTAGAAGCGGAGACTTCCGATGGCTGCCTCGACGGGAATCGTAAGAACTCTGTCTCTCCCCAGACCGGAGCATTGGCGGATTTGTCACTATTCACAACAGCGAATGGTCTGCTAGGTAGCTCATCGGTACTGATTTGGAGTGGCATAGACGTCAAGGCTTCAGCGGCGCCCGACACCGCATATAGATTCTCGGAGGTAGGGTTCCTGCTGAATGGTTGAGAAAATGACGTCCGGCTAGGTTTATGCTGTCTCTCGCTCCGTGGTACAACTGGCGGGATCCTTCCAACTCGGATAAGACGCGGTGGTCTCTGTGGTGGCTCCTCCGCCTGCACCGAAACTGACTCGATCGGACTCCGTAACGGCACTGCTGGCGGAGACCTTGCAAATGATTGTGGTGGCGATATTGGTGCAGTTGGGAGAAAGACGCTATCCTCATGTATGGAGGGTTCCGGCCCATCCTCAGCAAAGTCTCCTTCGTATCCACCAAGTAATGGACTGACTGCGGGCGAATCAACCACCTGTGAGAGGTAATCCCCAACATGCTCTGGTGGATTAACTTCACTCTCAGAGTCCATAACAGCATAGTACGGCATGGGTCGAGGGACAGGAATCGAGGAAACGCTGACTGGCATCTCCTCGGGCGAAGACGAGGATGCGCCAATGGGTCTCTGGGGTTCTGGCTCTGGTCCCTTCCTTCGAAATATATTCCATCTAAGCCTCCTAGACTTCTTATCCTTTGGTTTCTGCAGAGCAGTATCGCCGCGGGTAGGATCAGTTGTTGTGCTAGTTGTAGAGGTCGGAAATGCGGAAGAACGGCTGTCGTCTTGGCTGTTAATATATAAAGGCGCTGAAAGCCCTTCCGTCCGAATCGGGGTCGGGAGATTGAAACTCTCTGTATCGTTGCCAAAGCGTTGAGATCGACGTACTGCCAGCGTAGGGACACCGCCCTGACTCGATACTTGACCCCTGGCGACATGCGGGCTGTCTTGGAACGAATGTTGACCGATGGACACTTGAGACTGCGAAGCGGCTCCCCACATATCTAATACGGGAGCCGGTGGAACGGAAGAGCTCTCATATAAGTCAAGTCGAGTCCCAGAATTGCTCTTCATGCTACTGCCAGAGCCGCCGATGATAGGTATAGGCTTCATTCGACTAGCTGCAAACTCATCGAGATCGGATTGACTGCTTCGATTGTGGCGACTGCTGCTGCGGCTCTCCTTACTCTTGGATGAAAACAGAGGTACCCTTCTGGTGCTGCTCACAGACCTTTCGCTCTCGCTTCCTCGGGCTGAACCGCTCTCTTCAGATGTCTTGCGGCCTCTTCTTCCATATTTGCCATATCCCTCGTGGCCTGTCCCAGCCACTGGCCCTTTCCGTTGCAGCTTCCGAGGTGACTTTTCGACTTCAACTGCTGGAGACTTGGTTCTGCGACCAAACAGTCCGAAGCGAGAAAGTTTCCCTGTGCGGCCTGGGGAGCTTTGTGTTGCGATTTCTGCATCCCGAGGGGTCTTCGGACGAGCTTCCATAGGCGCAGTCCTCTCTTGGGCCTGCGTGAATTCAGTCGGTTGACGTCGATTCTCGACATCCCGACGTAATAAATCGGGAGGGTGACGCGTAGAACCCCGCCGATAACTGTCAATCGCGCCAGTTCTCTGATCGCTCAAGGTCTTTGCGACTTGTCGGGCTGCTCCGGGCGGTACATCGCGCAACGACTGCTGGAGATTGGCATGAGCACGTACAAGAGTGCGATGCTGCAACGACTCTCCGACGCTTCCCAGATCTGGCTGACCTCGCGCTGCCAATGGGCTGCGTTCTAAGTCCGATGAGGAAGGTGTAGCTTCCTGCTGCGGCCTCACGCGTTGCCTGTCGCTCTTGCTGCTGCTCCTGCTCAGGGAATGTTTCGCAGACGAAGTCCTGGGGGGCGGCGTAGGAGCAGGCGTATTCGAGGGTGTTTTCCTCCTGCCAGACGATTTCACAGACTCTTTCGAGCTTGCAGGCCATTCGCTCGCAACAGATGGAGGGAGAGCCTCTGGGAGAGCTGGCATCTTAGGGAGTTTTTCGCGTTTGCCTGCAGGTAGCGGGACAGTTTGTGACCGAATGGCAGAACCTGTCACCGGGACCGGCTGCACGATACCAGGGGATGCCGAAGACCAGGAAGTCGGAGTTGTCGTTGTGGTGGATATACTCCACGGACTCGGAGAACTGGAGAAACGAGTTGATGGACTGCTGATCGAGCTCGCAGATTTATTGAATGCTTGTGGTTGTTTCGTCGAGGAAGCCGCAAGAGCTTGCAATTCTGGGATTAATCGAGGCGGTAGTTCGCCTGTGCGAATCGATGTATTTGCTCTCGGCATCACTATGCCAAAGATGGCATCTTGATCAACATCCAAGGAAGATTGTTCGTTACTCAAGGGGCCTAGAGGGCGAGCTGGTCTCCTGCTACTGGAGGCTTCGTCTCTCCGTCTCGATCCCCGATACGATTCCATAAGTAAAGGAACCTCCTGCGACATTGAATCCGAACGTGCGTTTGACTTGCTCACTCCGGCAGAGGCGGGAGCGTTCTTCGGAGTGGTAACAGAACGGTGGGAGGGGTTTCTTGTTGCCGGCCGTGGAATGGCTGTTGGTCTTTGACTGGGCTTTTCACCGGGACTCGCTGGAGCCTCCCTCATAGGGGGTGGTGAGCGTGAAGCCGGACGTGTGCTTGTGGTGGGTCGGGTCGAGTCGAGCTGACGGGCATCATGACGGGAAGCTGGTAATCTGGTTGTTCGTGGTACGGTAGCATCTCTGGTTCTGGAAACACCATGTTGGGTGTCATACGTCGGATTTCTGTGCGACATATCCTGTGTCGGTTGGGATCCCCCTTGCCGGCCTCCCAGGATTCGCGCGATGATAGTAAACACGTTCGACTCATTCCGCTGTCCTCGTATCAAGACCAGACATTGAACTGGCACACCTTCAAGCCGTAGCGGTAAGTCGGATATTTTGCTGAAGAGTTGCAGACGATGTTGAACGGTCTCCAAGTTTGGATTTTGTCAATTATTCTTCTTCAAAATGACTCAGGCCGTATGTCGCACAACTCATTCATATCCGAGACAGAGTCTGGTAAAATGCTAAATGTCTTGTCGGGCAGCCGCGCGGGATAGTATCGAGGTGGGAATATTGATCGACAGAATGCGCCACATAAGCCTGTATAATAGCCTGTTCGGCCACACCGAGGCAAAAAATAGCAGCCACGAATCCGGCACGTGACACGACAGACGACGACCTGGATACTGACGATGTCCAGACCAGAGGGACGCGTGTACAGTGTGAAAGGTTAAGAGAAAGGAAAATAAGATGCGAGGCAAAGTCCTTTTCTGGGATGATAAAAGGCCCGGAGGGATACGGTTGCATGAGACCGAGCGGATCTTGCAGGCATCTAGTAACGAGAGAGACTGGCATAGGCGAGTTGGGTAAGATGGGGCACAAGCATGCTGGCCCAGCAGAACGGGAACCCCCATTTCCTTCACGGGCTGATGGTGATGGCTTGCATCACGATCAGAGGGATTTTCCACCATGCATGACCCTTCAACCTTTCAACGGGCCGGGGGGGCCACTAACTGGGCCGCGCATAACTCGTATTCATCATCTGGAGTCGAATGGCTTCTGCTGCAAGGCGTCAAGACAACCTTGGGACTCCTCAAGTCCCAGGCCATCTTTTGTTCCTGATAGGTCTTGCATCTGGGATGGGTCTCCATCATGGCTCCTCCCGCTCGCAGCTTGGAGAAGTCGGACCAGGGTTGCGGCTGACATGCCTGGACAAATACGATCAAAGGCATTCTGGGCTTCGTGGGGGGACTGTCCCTTAGTCAAACACTGCAGACAACTGGGGATGTGTACGTACCGATCAAGTGGACGGAGGGGCATTCGCAAGCGTGACTCGCTAGATGTCGTGCGTAGGAATCGTGCTTTGACGAGGTCATGTGCGATGATATGATGACCAATGTGGGCAGCATTTGCGAGGATAGCCGCATCATAGGCAGAATTGACGGTGCCAAAGGCGAGGCCGACGCCAGGCTGGGTGTCACCAACGTCGCGGCATCAAGGAGGAGGAGGCCGCGAGGCCATCATGTGGCGACACTTGGATCTGCACCGGTTGGAAACTGACGCTGGGGAGGCACTGGGGGACCAAGAGCAGCTCTCAACTGACTGGCGCCCTCGTATCGTCACAATGGAGTACCCTGTGTTAGGGAGGGGGACCTTTGCTAAACCTAGGAAAGAGGCCGGTGGACAAAAGTTGTGAAAAAGACGAGAGCCAGTGGCCAGGGTTGGAGTTGAGGAGCGGCCGCCGAAGTGGGGACTCGGGGCACCGATGGGAGGCGTTGAGGAGTCAGGGACCAAGCCTAGCCTAATAATTGGGGGCTTCCACGGGGCTTCCTACGGGCGGTGGCGAACACTCCGGGCTGAAAGTGCTAGGTGCCAACTAGCCTACAACACAGCCCGCTAGCCCTAAAGTCATGTCTCTGCCGGTGCCCTGGATAGGTGCCTCCTCCCCCCACTGTACCGAGGCTCGGGCCACTGCCAGTGTCCCCGTCCGCTCTGGGGACCGCACCGTCTTTTTCTATTTTTTTTCCTCCTTACAGCACACTGATGAACGGCTTGCTCATGCCACGACGAGCATCTGATTGAGGCAACTGTTCGCAAAAAATATCGTCCATACAGATCCAGCGAGCCACTGTTGATACAAGAATGGAGTAATACCAACTAAGGCCTCGTCCTTGCTTGCGCCCCATCACGATCGACGCGTCGTCCAAGAAACCTGTCTCCAGGTGGGTAAAGACACATTAATGTCACCACCACGGAAGATGATGGCAACATGGCTGGTCTCTGCCACAATATTGTTTATCTTGCCATCACCACGTGAAACACATTCTCTCATTGTGGCTGATTTGGCAATGGTTTGAGAGCACGTTCATCACTCCTACTGCAGTAAGTCACACTTCTCTAACGTGCTCCTGCAAGTCAACAATGCAGCAAGCAACTCCTTTAGCGCTCTGCATACACTAGGGAAACTCTACCAGTACAAGGCCTTCACACGTGCGGGTCTGTCCATCAAGCCATGGCTTTCAAAAATCCTCCGAAAGTGAATTCTCCAGACTTCTTTTTCCCCTTTCTCTCTCGTGCGTCCGCCAGTTTGTCTGCTCACCACCAATTAGCATCCAGAGACGGGCAAATATGTCTGTTTGTGGCTGATCTTGATACCGAGAACGTTTGATAGGTTGCGCTCCGAGGGATGTCTGGCGAATGCCGCCCGCGTGCCTACCACGCTCCTTGTGGAGGTTCCCGTGCTCCTGTTGGCGCAAAATCTCCGATGTGGCCTCTCGACACAGGATCCCTACGCTGTCGACCGTGACCACTGGGCAGCTTTATCCGATCACCTGATGCGCGGGATGGTTTAGGTTTTAGAGACGGGGAAACGCACAAAGGTTGTGCCGCAGAAACCTCCTTTGCAAATCCTTCAGCTTCTCAACAGAGCCGATGTGTGATCGAGCTCCCCTGAGCCAACCATAGTGAACGGTCATATCCAGCACTTTTCTCTCAACATCTCCGTAATCAAGTCTCAGCTTCGCACCATGGCGCCACAAGGAGTCGCATTCCCCATTGAGGGGGGTTGTGATTGTGGAGAAGTGCGCTACGCTATGATGACAGAGCCGATGATTGTTCATTGCTGTCAGTGAGTTGCAAACCTTATCGTGCATGTGAACGTCCTCTGCTGAAACGGCACAGCTGCCGATGGTGTCAGAGAGAGACTGGAGCTTCCTTTGCGCTCAACGCCATGATCGAAACTGACAGGCTAAAACTCCTGAAAAAGGAGCCGGAATGGATCACCGTGCCGAGTGAAAGCGGCGCCGGTCAAAGCATCGCACGTTGTCCAAGATGCAAGATTGCTGTTTGGAGTGTTTACCTCAACAACACAACCAATGTGAAGGAGCGTATCCGCATTGTTCGTGTGGGCACCTTGGACAATCCCGACGTGCTCCCGCCAAATGCCCACATCTGGGCCTCTGAGAAGCAGCCGTGGATCATCCTCTCGGACAAAGTCCCCGTATACCAAGACGAAAGGTATAACGATGAAGATGTGTGGTCAAAGGAGAGCCTTGAAAGGAGACGGGGGGCAGAAGCAAGCGAGGGTGCTACCCAATAGGATCTGCCAAATCAGACCCATTGATAGAACCTCCGTAAATGTGCCCCCGTTCTTTTAAGAGATCGATAACCGTCTTTCGGTGGCTGGCTGTTGCAGAGTTCAGACAAAGCTGCTAGCGTCTTAATTCTGATACAGTTGTGGTTGAGGTAGGCGCCCTGAGTAACACGTTCAGCTTAGAACTGATGCCGAAAAAGGACATACGACTTCCTCGGCAGTTTGGCGGATTATGTCAATCTTTCTTTGGACCGCAGAGCCCTTCCCTTTCCTCCGAATATCTTTGACCTAGTGGCATCGCTCGTCAGAGCCAAGCCCAACGTTCGTCAATGACTCCCTCCTAACTTAAGCGAACTGTTCCAAAGACTGATGCGCTGGCGGTGCCTCATCTTGCTCATGGTTATAGTTGCGCCCTCTGATCCAATGATTCGCCGTATAACTTATCCAGATCGGGTATAGTGAGGCATTAGGGCTTTCAGCCTTGGAACCATCTTAGACCATCCCAGCTGAACCCGCGGCTTGGAAGAGGCTAAGATCCGATCAGTTGCACAGCTTCAGCCGGGAGGGACATTCCAAAAAATAACTCAGATTCTGTGTCAGAGGATGGGATCTTGGCGAGGGACGAGGCTGGCTGGCGCATCGTCCCCGAATCCTCACCGAACCCTCCGAGGTTCTCGAAACATGGGCTTTTAGACTACTCGGGAACAATTGGTGAGGAAGATTTGGGACGAGCAAAAATGAAATGGTTGCTATTTCCACGGGCTAATTGATGTATTGGGATCCAGGGGCAGAAATCTATATCGCATGCTTTCAGGTAGCCAATACTCGATCTTCCCTTATCAAGCACAATCCCAAAATGCCTTTTATCGGATCTGGAAGACCCTTCCAGACTTGGTTCCCAGTAAGCCTCTGTACGAGTACTCGCATCATTGCCCTCTCGAGGACTTGACCATTCATGAAGGCAATCCCTTGGACACACGAGATAAATACCCTGTTAAAGTCGAATCTACTCCACAGTCCATCGAGCCAAAGACCAAATTCTCATGGAGGCCCATTTGGTGGGCCCCAACCAACGTAAGCACGAACAAGAAGATCGTAGCAATGAGGGAGCCGTCCACAACCGGCAAGAAGGACTGTATATAGCTAAAGGTGTGAAGAAGTCTTCCCCTGCTATTGGTATCATGCGAGTATATAGCTAGATTACAATACCGTCAGATCTATCTCTTGCGCCCGAATTCTTTCCCAATACAAACCATGAAAATCGCCTATTGTGACTACCGTGGGCGAGCCCGCCCCGATTGTGAGGCCAAACACTCATTCAGCCGCGCCACTACTTGTAGATGGAGACCGTGGAAGAAAATTCGCGTCGGTATTGTCGAATAGATTTGAGCACTGGCCCTTCTTCCGGCCTATGTCACCGCGCCAAAGCTCCTTTGTAAACGCTGAGTCTTACTCTGAAGGTTGCGGTCTCCGTCACCCCCCGATTTAGGCAAATCCAATATTAATAGAACAGCGGCTGTAAAAGATATGATCGAGCATAATAACGTATAGTATTCGTGAACAAAAGGACATGAAATGAATTATATTTTATTCTCGGAACCCAGATATTCGACTACTATTTGGTAATCATTTGAGAGAAAGCGCAGACAGTCTTCGAGCAGAAAAGCAAAATCAATTCTTTGCATAGTCGTATTATCATGTCTTCCCATCATTCATCGACACCCGCATCTCATGCACCGACTGCTCATCCGAACCCTGTCATCAATGATCGCATACGGGGTAGTGCGGTCGATGAAATCAGATACAACTGGCAACGGTAAAATCCTCACTTTGTAGGAACTGGCGCCCAGAATGCTGTGGTGCGACGCCAAACCCCTGCTACTCAACAGGCACCAGAGCAGGCGCCTGGTCCGCAGCACTTGCCACCCATGACCCCCCCTCGGGGTGCACGGTGATAATGATGTCTCAACCATTCGAGCACTTTGACGGACACTATAGACTCGAGTTTCCGGGATCCGTCTGTATTCTCGACCTAATATTCCTAGTCTTCTTATACAGAGCCGTTTACGCACTCGAGCGGCAGTATGTCCACTGGCATCCTGGGAAGCGTGCTGGGTCACTTTCCATCCGGCCCAACTCACATGCCACCACTAGCAGATGACTCAGTTTCAGATTCCCATATGCTGCCACCGCATATGCAAGCAGGAGGGACCCGCTTTCCGGGAGCGTTCGACGAACATGACACCACTGCCGCTCATTAAAATGACATGGGTGAGGGGGAAGGTTTTGATGTAGACGGGCACAGGCAGTAGTACCCCAGTAACTTCTTGGATATGAGCACAGACCCAGATCATCCCGTTAACTTTATCGACATGGATCATGATGAGGAGGGGAAGGAAGGAGAAGGAGAAGGAGAAGAAGATCACACACAGCCTTGGGCATGAGTCCCCAGCACAATCCACATGACGAGGATTCTGATTAGGACAAATATGTGTTGGTTTGACTGTTAGAGCGCACGACGTCAGCGCAGAGGAACATACGATCAATGACAGCAGCACAGCGCGAAACATTTTCTGAAGGAATCAGGGAAAGGAAGAAGAAAGGGAAAGGATCCTCAGCCTTGGTTGCTGTAAAGTACGCTCATGTACGTTTCGCCCACCGTAGAAATAGGCTGCATTCTTGGCGAACCTACCCTTCCTGGAGCCTGCGAGCCTGCTTGTCCCCATTCCCCAAAAGTCCAGTTCTCAAGTCATACGGCAGAGGCGCTGACTGCCATTACGGCCTCACTTTGCACTGCGGCTATGATTCCTTGTTTCTCATGGTCCTGGAAGACTTTGACAAGGCGATTGCTCAAAGGATTACATTTTCCCAGCGCCCAATTATATCGCATCTCAAATTTCAGATTTCTACGAGATGGCACCCAACCTCCCGTTCACTTTGCTCACTTGAAGTCTCCAGGAGAAATGAAATTTTTTTGTTGCATCTTCTTACAATAAATGGTTCGTCAGTGGTCGGACCTAGTCTATGAGGCCTCCAAGAGGCCAAAATCGCGGAAACTTAACGACCCAAGGCTGGAAGAGAGTCTCTCATACAGCCTAACCCTTCGGCCTCCATCTGACTCTAAGTATCGGTCACTCGACTCTAATGAAGATTCCTTTCGATTCCTTCACCTACATGCGGGCAATTCGGCTGATACTCTACGATGCGATCCATCCAAGGCGAAAATTTCGCTCTGTAAGTGTAAATACATTGCCGAAGACTACGAACGGGGTCATCAAGAACATCCAAAAGTCATCTTTGTCAACGGTCATCAATCCTTCATCACTCGAAACCTGTTTGAGTTTCTATGTGTCTGTCGACGGCGTCAGCGTGAACAGGACGTCATTCTCTGGATAGACGCAATAAGCATTGACCAACAATCTGTCCTGGAACGGGAACCGTCAGGTTCGTATCATGGGGTCTATTTACGCAAACTCATCTCGTGTATATTCGTGGCGAGGGCAAAACAGGCCTAACAGCGACTGGATTTTTGACGCGTTGAATGACGACAATCGGGCTTGGGCGCTCCATTTGAATGCAAACAGTTTTTACGAAAGATTGAACCCCTCTTCACCCCGACACGAATGGCCCTACAACAGGGTTGAAAAGTTGGATTCCTTTCTGGCTAACGTGGACAAATTCGGATCCAGATCATATTGGAAGAGAGTGTGGATTCTCCAAGAGGTCTTCTTAGCGCTAGACCTCTTGCTACTTTGCGGTCAGAATATGGTCCATGAATTTTGTTTCCCAGCTTTCCCGGCCAACACCTCCAAGATCGTCATGGAAGGAATTGGCCGAAAGCTAAAGGAATAAGACTAATGTAGAAACGTCCTGACCTCAACATTTTTTGAACTGTGCAACATGCGCTGGAAGCGGACCCAAAACCACCGACCGATTGACTTCGACTTGTTTACCAAGACTTTTCGCTTAATTGCGCAGTATTAAGCATGATAGTATCTCTGCTCTGCTGACTTTGGCGGGCCTATCATGCAAGAGACCAACCCATCCCCTGATCGATTACACGCTCTCCAAATTGAGCTTGCGCTACAAGTTCTACACCAGTTTGAATTTACCAAGCCGTTATCCTTCATCATCTCTGCACCCAGTGCCCTTGATATATGTCCATCTGACCTCCACCAGTCATATCGGGCCGTGCAATCAACGATATCCACGAAACTTTCATTATCCACAAAATTTACAAATCAAAGACTTGTCAATTGGCGACGGTCAAGGTCCTTGGCAGTCTGGTGTCCCAGGGAAATTTGACTCTATGACTGTTCCTGGTCTCTGAGTGCCCACAGTCGCGATACCTGCTTGTACCTCAAACATGGAAGGTCACCCACAATAGGAGACGTGACAGGGTTAGACAAACCCAGCGAGGCGTCCATTTTGAGATTTCCTAATCTTTCCGTTGAAGCCCACCTGCGCAGACTCAATTTGCCGGGGATAGTCCTCGACAAAGAATCCAGTAATGGAGAGAATTGGAAAGTCTACGTCGAGAGGATGACATATATGGTCAGTCAATCGAGGACCTGCACCACTACTCTCCGACGAATTTGTCTTGAGCATAGAGCTACCGTCAAGGTCGAAACTGAATTCAACTGTCTTCTTGCGCTCGGCTTGTGTCTCAGGTGTCTTGAAGTACCAGCGACACGTCAAATATGGTGGATACTATCCGAGAAACGCTGGAGAAATCCTAGACATCTCGGGGGATACCAGTGACTCTTAGTTGCGGAGCCTGCCTAGGAACTGTGGGAATGACTGAAGCCGCAACGCAATAGAAGTATTTCCAACAGTCCAAATGTATTCATGATGGCCAATTGAAGCAAGTGAGGAAACAGTGTAATAGTGCATTCACAGAATCAATCAACGTCAAAAACACGCCCATCGTCCCTCGCGACTCCGAGGCTGCGAGGAAGACCCCATTCTTCTCTTGGACGTGAACATCGCTCCATTCAACCAGAGAT